AAGGGGGCGGCGGAAGGCGGCGGTGGCGAAGTCGAGGGCCCCCCGGGGGAGGCGGGGGCCGAGAAGAGCGGAGGCACAGGTAGGCGCCCGGCGCGGGCCTAGGGGCTGGCCCGGGGCGGTGGCGGGGGAGGGGGGTGCGGCGGGGACCTCCCTCTGCTTGAGCCGTTTTATGTGCTACTTTATAAGCATTCGAGGGGGTTTATACATCCTATAAGATTTCCCGGGTCGTTGTAAAGCGTGTTTATGATAGGAAACCAATTTAGGTGGGCTTAAGGTAGACTTCGAAGAGGACATTAATCGCTGTAGAGCGCTTTCCCCCTATTTGGGTGGGGGGTGGGTGGGTTGGGGACCTTAGAGGAGAGAAGGACATTTGGAGCCAGTTGATGAGTGGGAACAGGGGAGTCCCCTGCCTTTCAGGGAGGGGTTAGGTGATCTTCGAACTGGACTTAATCCAAGTGTCTGGCTGACGCTCCGCTCTGAGTGGAGCAGATGCCCCTGGTGGGCGCGCTCCTGTCTCTTTTCCCTCCGGCTCCAGTTTAGAGCCTGCCTTGCCCTCCTTTCCTATCTCAGTGCCAGGCTGAAGTGTGTGTGTGTGTGTGTGTGTGTGTGTGTGTGTGTGTGGTGTGTGTGTGTGTGTGTGTGTGTGTGTCCGGGTGTGAACACATGTCCACGCCCGCACTCTCCTGTGCCCGCCCATATATCATCCCCCACGACGCAGGCTGGGCCTTTCAACGGTGGCGGCAAGGGACGTCCCTAACCCGGCCGAGGCCTGGCCCCAGCTCAGTGGCCAGAGCGGGTGGGGGCCAGCAGCAGCCTCTCTCACCCCTTGGTCTCTTTGCCTTGCAGTGGCCCCCCAGAGGTCCCGGAAAAAGCGCTGCCCCTACACCAAGTACCAGATCCGCGAACTGGAACGCGAGTTTTTCTTTAATGTATACATAAACAAAGAGAAAAGACTCCAACTCTCTCGGATGCTCAACCTCACTGACCGGCAAGTCAAAATCTGGTTCCAGAATCGCAGGATGAAAGAAAAGAAACTGAACAGAGACCGTCTGCAGTATTTCACTGGAAACCCCTTATTTTGAGAGCTCCAGGAAGCGCCCCCTCCCCAGAGCCCCACTCACCCACCCTCCTCCCCACCAGCCTGCCCTCCGCGGGCCCAATGTCCTTGGGTTCAATGACGCCTCTTCTCTGTGGAACTTCACGATTCCTTCTGGCGGTCAACTCGGGACCTCCCAGCGACCACTGCAGCCTGAGGACGAGGCCGGGGACTTGGCCGAGCGGATCCTAATAAGGGGAAAATGGTAAATGCAATCGTCCCTTTATAATTTTACCGCCAATGTGCCGTTGTTGCTTGCCCCTCTCCGAGTCCTGGTGGATGCGGCGGGATCTGTAGGGAGCTAGGCCAAGGGGCTAGAAGGAGTCGGTGTTTTGTTTCGAGTTTAAGAAATCCCTTTCTTCCCCCTCAGTGAACACAGATTATTTAAACTCTGGGAAATGTACCTTTGGGCATGAGTCACTTGTCTTTTTGTGTGTGAATAAATGGTTTCTAGCAAAATGGAGGTTACAGCTTCAATACACTGCATGGATTTTTACTGTTTGAAGAAGTTTAGTAGCTAATCAGGCTATCTTAGTGACCAAAACCCTGTTCCCCATGCAACTAAAAGCTCACTGGAGCACTTTTTAATCTCTTTGTAATAGGAGCTGTTCCTTCACACACATACACACACACACACACCCTAGGCTACACTGGCTTTAAAAATCATGTTGGTGTTGCATTTCTGAATGGGTGATGAGATCCAGCAATGCAGCTTGCCTTTTTTCCAGGCAAGGAGGTTGAAGCAGTAGGAGTCTAAAGAGCAAATTCTCACCCCACCCCCCACCCCTTGGTCTAATGAACTTGGAATTTCTGGAAAGACAGAACAAAATTTAAAATTAATTAGAAGATCCAAATGATCTCTTAACAAGGTCAAGGAGCCAGAATTCCTTAGCAGAAGAAGAAACCTCTATGTGAGGGGGAAGTTTTGTTCGAAGGGAAGTTAATAGGTACAGGAGACCATGGGGTCCTTCTGGTGTCATAGTGAGCATGAGGCAGGCGATGGAAGCCCTCCCCCCACACACACTGGACTGAGGCCAGGGGCTGCTCAACTGCTTCTCACCACATTTATCGCTTTAAGTTAAAGAATGTGGTGAGGGCTGCACTGCACTTTATGTCACAGGACCAAGCCAGGCTGTTTACAAAACCTTGAACTGTCTAGACAACACCATAAAAGGCTAAGTTCTAAACAGCTTAATTGGGTTATATTATACACCTTCTGGTGGGCCCGAAAGAGATTTCCGCAATGTGCAATAAACGGGAGACGTGAGAAAAGCGTCCCTCTCTCTGAAAAAAGTGAGGTGGGTCTTAGGACTCTTAACCTCTCAGAAACCCAAAGTCAAAATATAAATCCGTAAGATGCATGGCACCCCAGGCCTCACCTGAGGAAGTATGCTTTTTGAAATATAATTTTTTTTAATTGCTAAAGCTTTTGGGGGGGTAAAGAAAAACATAAGTGCATAAGTGTATGCCTTTGAACTTCCAAAATGTCAAGGTCATCACCTTTAACCTCTCTGAATAATTAGGCGCCTTAAAGTTCTTCTGTGATTTCCAACCACCACCCACTCTCATAATACATGCTTACACATCCAGACCCATGCACATATTTATGACCATACAGAATCATACTGGGGGTTCACCATAAATCTAAGAAAATTCCTAATTTCAAGATCAATAACCTTAATTTCCCTCCAAACATTGGAGTAATTCAATAGCAATTGACTTCTTAGGAAAAAAAATAAAAACACTTGTTAGATCAAAATGCCTATTAACTATTAGTAGAGCTAGGATTACTGAGAATTTTGGAGGATCTTAGAGAGTTTCTCTTTGCTGTAAGGAAGAACTGCAGTCTTTAAAAAGGCATTTGAGAGAGTAAGTTCTCATCAGACTTACACCATCCCTAGCATTTGAAAGCAATTTGCCACCCTGTTAAATAAACTCTGGCACTTTCTAAGATATAGAACAAAATAAAATATATTTATATTGTTTTTTTAACACATTTCTCAATCTTTGATAAAGGATGCAGTAGAAACAAATCAGACAATCAAATTATTTCTCTCAGACAAGGATTGTTTTGTTTAGAATCTGGGCACTGGTTTACATGTAAATGCCCTAATAGTATGATCTTCCTGGGAAATTAAAACTGGTTGGTTTCTTTCTCTCTTTATCTTTTTTCTTTTAACTGCGTCTAAATGAGCAAGCTGTATGCCAGCCAGCGTACTCCAGGCGAACGCCAGAAATACTATTTTCCGTTTGCAAGAACCGCTACAGCCACACGAGGGCGCGCTCACGTTCCAGAAACCTTATTTGCCGAGAGGCTGCGGTACCTTATTTTTTCCAATACTAGATTCTAATAAGGGATCTTGGCCCACCCGTTAGAAACAGGCAGCAGTTAAGGTGTTTGCTGTCTCCTTGTTCTAAGCAGCCATGATTGTGAGAAGTTGTAGAGAGACAGAGAAAAACAGGCAGTCTTCTGAAACAGGGAATCCCCTAAACGTTGTCTCCTTAAAGATAAAGCCGCTGCAAAAAAATAATTCCTTAGTATATAACCTGATGGTGCTGAGAAGCTATTTTAAAAAGACAAATATCTGTGGCTTGAAATACGTCACTGCCACGGCGAGTTAATTAAATTAGGGGAATATCTATTTTCATGTTGGTTTGAGTGTGGAGAGTGATGACAAACATAAGGTCCCTCCCGTCTCCCCAAAACCGCACGCGTCTTGTGAGCTTTCAGATGGCTGGGGTGATTAAAAGGCTTTTGTTTAAAACAGATTAGGGCGTTGGCAACTTAGCTGAGTGTGTACTTAGGGGGAAAAAATGAAACTCCATGAGGACCGTGGGCGTCGTTCTGGGCTGAAGATCTCAGTCCATGCATGGCTTGGTGCTACCCCTGGCTACCCTAGTAGGAGCGGAGAGGGCTTAGAAGCTGGGGTGCGGGTGCCAGACTGGACTGATGCGGTTAGTGGAGGTAGGAGACTCTTTGTGAGGACATTTGGATTTCAAAGTGTTGTGAGTGGAAATGCATTTGAAGTAGCCTGGCATTGTACTTGACGGAATCCGGGCCACCTTTCCTAGTTGCCCGCTGACCTTGAGGTGCGCAGTTTGCTTTGGGCGCTAGCTCCCACAAACAGTTAAAATCGCTCCTGAGATTCACTGGCCCTGAAAAGCCCCGGGCATTGGGAAATGTCTGTGTCCCTCCGCTTGCATCCTTGTCCAAAAGTGTGAAGACGGGGCTCCCGGAGGTGGGCGGCTCAAAGGGAGGATGGCGGATCCCTTTCACCCCCTAAGTTCCTTGAGAAGAACCTGCAGCCCCCGGAATTTGCACTGACCTCTGCCTCCCCACCTCCATTCGCCGGACCTCAGGCTCCAGGGCCGGCCGGTCCGCTAGTTCTCCCGGCCTCCAGGAGCCGGCTTTGGCTTGCGGGAGGCTGGGGCGCCATGACTCCCCGGCTAGGCGCCAGCGAGAGGCGTGGGTGTTCCCCCGCGCGGATACCCGGCTCCGCCTGTCTTGCTGCCAGTCGGGCTCAGCTCTTGTAAAGCGACCTTTCTTAGGGCCTAACCCGGGTTTCAGTTCTCGTGGGGTGAGACCTCCCTCCCCAAATGTCGTTGTGTTCCTTTGTAGGCGGCCCCATCGGCCGCGCATCTGGCTGTGCGGGGCCCCTTGGCCTTGGCTGGCGGCCGCCGCGGCGGACCACGGCTGCTGAGCGGTCTGCAGGGTCAGCCCAGCCGGCTGCGCCTGCCCACCGTGGGCCTGATGCAGGCCAGGGGATGGGATCAGGAACTTCGGGGGCTGAAAATCTCCACATCTCGAGCCGGCTAGGGTGCGTGGGGCTCCTTGACGGCGGCCACGGATCGATCCAGAGGCGCCAAGTTCTCAGATTCCGAAGTAGGAGCCTTTTGTGTCTGTGTAGAAAGAGGCTCGGCCCTCCTCGATCCCTTTCCATCCATCTCTGTAGACCCCTGACGGAGCCGGTGGTAGTCTCCCAATTGCCCCCGCGATTTCTTTTCCCCTTGGTGCAACAGTACACAGTGCAACCCAGAGGGGCGCCCTGGGGAGGCAGCTTTTAAATTTGTCCCTACCCATCCTATCTCCAAGGAGTGACAGAATCCAGAGGCGGCTCATAGCTCTAAGTCAGGGAGACTCTAGGAGCCCATAGGTCCCCTTAGGCCCAGAGCCTCCACCCCATCCTTCCAAGGAAGACAAGAGAGTGCAGATGCAAGCCACTTCATTACTATTATGATTACAAATGCTAATTTCTTGCTAAGGCGACCTTTTAGATTTTCTCTGGAAAGAACTATGCCAGGGAGACAGGCGTCTTGGTACAAATAAGGGTATCCATCTCCTTTACGATGCAATATTGACTTATTATTAAAACTAATTGCTGTAAATGATCTAAAGATAATTTTTAAAAAACACCAGCCACTACATTAAGCACTAAGCAAAATAAAAGCTGGCCTTTAAGCTACTGCATTTTCCTTCCGCTTGCTTCGTATCAGCTCTAAGGTCTTAAGGCACATTCTCTGTCCTCTCTTACAGTATTTTCATTTTGCTCAAGTTTTAAAATTCTGTAAACCTAACATATTGACAATTTTGCCCGCGAGAACTCAATCTGAAGGCAGAAATTCGAAAGAGAAAAAAATAGAATTTTGTGAGAAATAGATTCCATTTTTAAATTGACATGCACAATTTTTTTTTTCTGCCTTTGAGTGAAGATCCATTTAAACCCTAATTCAATACGAGATGACTTTGAGCTTGAAGCGATAAGGCACTGAAACAGAAAGACCCACACACAGAGAAGGCAGAGCTGTCTCTCCAACTTCACTGAAGACTTACCAGCCCAGTAAGGAATTGCTTGTTTTTAGACTGGGTGTTTTCTTCGTGTATAAATAAAGATTATGAAAGGGCATTTGATGGGCATAAAATTCCTGATTAGATTGAACAGCCCTTCCTTGCTTAGGATTAGGAAAATTGGGCAGTGGAATTCTGGGCAGCTCTCCTGGCCGAGATACAAGGCAACACAATGCTAAAGCGCCAAGCTGGCGTCAGGGCGCCTGCCGAGAACGGTACAGCGGGCACTTTTGTCCGGCCCTGGGCACATTTAGCTGTAACTCAGAATTTGATCCCCACAATGTGAAAAGGGAAAATTTGAGGTGCTAATCAGTGGCTGTTAGGTTTGATCCGGATCTTAGCAACCTGGAGGCAAAAGTGTTTTGTTTTGTTTTGTTTCCCCCCAATGCTTTACTTAACACCTCACACCCCCTCCCCAGCTTCAAAATAGCCAGCCCTGTGGAAAGGTAATGTTTAAGTCTCGGGCTTCACCACCGGGGTGCAGCAGCCAGAGCAGTGAGAGACGCCAGGCTTTTAACCTGACAATGATGTTGTATTTGAACAGCTGCGTAAAGGTTTAAAAGGTCTGTCTCATTGCCACCGTGGAGTTTTTTAAAAGGGGTTATTGTTTGGGCGAGGGCACTGAGAGGGGACTAGCCAATCGGTCCCAAGGCCGAAAATAACGTTCGACGCCTGTTTTCACCAGGCCAGGAGAAATTCCTTTAGGGGAGGGAGGGGGACAAAGGACTTTTGGGGGGAATTGAAATGTTTTTGTGAAGGAGCAACGAGGTCCCCCAGATCGCTGAGGCTCTTTAAGGAGCATTGAACCCCAAAGAAATGTTCTGTTGAGGCGGAAACCAGTTTTATCCACAAGTTCAGTCTCTGGGCCTGAAATCCAAGGCCAGCCCATTCCTGAGTGAGTGTGGAAGAGAACCCAGTTGTCTCCTCCGACTGAGAACTGGTTCACGGTCAGTTTCCGGGTCCGTTTTACTTTCTTGACCGCCAGGGAAGGGGCCCGGAAGGCCGAAGGACAGCTCCCACACACAGGCAGGGCCCCTGGTCCAGGGCAAGTCTTTGGAAATCAAGGTTAAAGCTCCCCGCTGCTGTCCTAAAATCCCGGCTTCCGCAAGGCGGCTCGCCCGCCTGCAACCAGAGAAGGAGGAGGAAGTTGTTCAAGTTTCTCATAAAACTCTGAGTTTCCATGGTGGTGGTGGCAGTGGTTGCTCTTTAATGAGCTGGACCACAACCCCAGACCATATCCTCTTTATAAAACTTTCCCTCACCAGAGGAAACGGAAGACTAAGATTCTCCCATCTCGTTCCCCTTCTTGCCCAAACAAAACCTTGTCAAAGAATTTTAGGGATCGTCCAAAACTATAAAATTTAACTTGTGACAAAAGTATAGCTTTTAATATTTGACGATTTGTGTTAAAACAAAAATTGACCTTCTTGGTTAGTAGCGAAGGGGAAAAATCAATAGTATAATTTTCAATAATTCATAAAGCGAACGCCATTATGCTAAATCTTAACTATTAATCTTATCCTTTACAAAGTCTCGATTGATTTGTTAATAAAATATCTTCCCGTTTGTGGCAACAGCGGGTATAACTCTTTAAAAACCTTCAGAAGCAAGAAAATTACCAAGTAGCCCAAGAATGTAGATGAGAATTTTATTGATCGCCCTGATTCTTCTTAATATGTATTAATAAATTCCACAACCTTTTGTACCTTGCACTTGTCAGAAACCAATGCTTTTACAAAATCCATAAAAGGAAAACATATTTTTCTTTGCAGAAGGCTCAAATGACACCCTCTGCTTTGCTCTTTCTTCGCTCTGGCCCGGTTTTCTAAAACTTGTGGAGTCCGAGGGTCAGAGTTTTCCCCTTTCTTTTGGAAAAATATTTTCTTTTGCCCTTCCTTCCTCTCTGCCTTGTATTACGAGGGAAAGGAAACTCGGTTTAGCTGTCTCTGGGAGCCCGAGGGACGCTTTCCAGGATAGGGAAGGGCTGGCGAAGGATTATCACCAAGCTAGAAGCTCCCAGCGGCCGGCCCCTCAAAGGTCAGGGTGTGGTTACTCTGAGAGTCTAGGCTCCAGGAGCTCGTGGGTGCCCAGGGGCCCCGAGTCCGGGCCAAAGGATCGAAGGAGAGGGTGACTACGGGCTGGAACCATCCTCCGGGCTCCCGATCGGCCCAGCTGCGTGGCCTCTCGACCTTCGCGGCCTTTTCCCGCTAGTGCTTACCGCGACACCTTGGTCGTATGTTTGCAGCGGAGAGTTTTTCCCTTTGGGCCCCTAGGGAGGGACGTTTCAGAACCAGAGGAATCGGACTCACCTTCCCAGCTGCCCAGTACTAAATTAACCAGCCCGCGCCCCTACCCCTTGCTCGGAACCGGCCCTCTTGGGCGCGTTCTGCCTGGGTGTGTGCAGGGGAAACAGTTCCGTGAGCAGGCGCCCCCGCGCTCTGACTTCCCTCAGTGCGCGTGTCCTCCCGGAGGCCCCTCGGATCAAGCCTTTCCTTCCGCCGGCGGGGCCCGGTGGCCGGGTAGGGGACTCGGGTGGGGGCAGGCAGGCCGGCCAAACAAGCCCCGGGAGACCGGCTGGCTGGCCAGCAGCAGAGCTCTGGGCCGGTTGTTTCCAGCGCGCACTATCACCGGCGCTTAGTAGATGTCGCTGTTGTCCGTGCTTACGCGGCCGGCCGGCCGGGCTCTGGAACACGTGACCTGCAAGGAGGCTGCGGCTCAAGGCCATTTTCAAATCTCATTGGCTTGGTTGTCATGTGGTCGGCAGAGGCATCCACAATTACACCGGGAATGTTTTCCTAGAGATGTCAGCCTACAAAGGACACAATCTCTCTTCTTCAAATTCCTCCCCAAAATGTCCTTTCCCAACAGCTCTCCTGCTGCTAATACTTTTTTAGTAGATTCCTTGATCAGTGCCTGCAGGAGTGACAGTTTTTATTCGAGCAGCGCCAGCATGTACATGCCACCACCTAGCGCAGACATGGGGACCTATGGAATGCAAACCTGTGGACTGCTCCCGTCTCTGGCCAAAAGAGAAGTGAACCACCAAAATATGGGTATGAATGTGCATCCTTATATACCTCAAGTAGACAGTTGGACAGACCCGAACAGATCCTGTCGGATAGAGCAACCTGTTACACAGCAAGTCCCCACTTGCTCATTCACCGCCAACATTAAAGAAGAATCCAATTGCTGCATGTATTCTGATAAGCGCAACAAACTCATTTCTGCCGAGGTCCCTTCGTACCAGAGGCTGGTCCCTGAGTCCTGTCCCGTTGAGAACCCCGAGGTTCCCGTCCCTGGATATTTTAGACTGAGTCAGACCTACGCCACCGGGAAAACCCAAGAGTACAATAACAGCCCCGAAGGCAGCTCCACTGTCATGCTCCAGCTGAACCCTCGTGGCGCGGCCAAGCCGCAGCTCTCGGCTGCCCAGCTGCAGATGGAGAAGAAGATGAACGAAACCGCGAGCGGCCAGGAGCCCACCAAAGTCTCCCAAGTGGAGAGCCCCGAGGCCAAAGGCGGCCTTCCAGAAGAGAGGAGCTGCCTGGCCGAGGTCTCCGTGTCCAGTCCCGAAGTGCAGGAGAAGGAAAGCAAAGGTCGGTATGAGCAGAGTTGCCACCCCAACGGGGCGCGCAATCCGGTAAACCCTCGGAAAGGGAGCGCTCGGGTGCCCAAAGCCGAGCCCAGGCAGCGGAGCCCAGCGGCCCGACTGGCAGGTGCTGCTCCACCCCGGCTTTTAGAGGGGAGATCTCAGCCTCGAGATGGTCTCTGATTCTCCCCCCGCTGCTCTGGCCCTCCCGGCCAGTCCTGGCCCCACGCTGATGGCGCCTGGGCAGAGGAAAGGCTTGCCGGGTTTATCTGTCCACAGCCAGACCCGAAATGCAACAAAAGAGCTAAAAGGAGACCAGCGGCTTGTAAACAGGGCTCCAGTGGCCCCTTTCCTTTGGCTCAGATTTGCAGCCCCCGTTTTTTGCCTTGCACCCAGGGATCATTTTAAGGTGGCCTAAGACATCGTGTTTGTGTTCAAGGGTTTGCACCCCGCATCCTGCGATCTCAGAAGGGAAGGAAATGGTTTGGCCGCTTGGTGCTTGGGTGGAGAAGGCAGAGGACTTCTTGCCTTTGCTGGGCTAGGTAACCTTGGCTTTGTCTGGGGAGTGCCGCAGGCTTTGCAACCTTATACAAAGAGGGCAAAAGCGGAAGAGGGGGAGAATGGATTTGCATTGCCCACTTGGGGCTGGGATAAGGCAAAGAACCAGGGGTATGGGTTTCTAAAGAAGGGATCGTGCCCACCCCCGTGCATGCTGCGGTCTGTCCCCCAATGTCTACCGGTGGGCCCCAGGGTTACATTTCTGGAGGAATGCTTTTGTGTGAGGACAAGGAAACAATTTTTAAATCGAGGGAATTCTGGGGGGACTGTAACAATGCCCAGGCAGGGTGGAGAAGGTATTCTTGTTTGTTTATCTCTTGGAAGAGTCTGGGTCCCTGTAAACCTGGTTGTGGGGCTCCCTGTCTGCCCAGGAGAGGTGGGTAAGCAGCGGCCGACTTGGGGCCCTCGGGCAGCAGGGAGATTGGTAACCGCTCAAGCTGTGGCTCCTGTTCCTGTCCTGTCACGGGCTGACCACTCAGAATGTTGCTGGGGAAAATCTGTGAACTTTACGATTATAGTAACGTTTTGTGCAAGCCAGAAAGTTGTGTAGCAGAGAGAGAGAGAGAGAGAGAGAGAGAGAGAGAGAGAGAGAGAGAGAGAAGCCAACCCCTGGTACAGACCACCCTTCCATTGTATTACTTAAGTATTTAGTTCTCATTTGCTATCAATTTAAAATCCCCTTCATGCCCCACCTTTGTGAGTAATGTTTAATACCATGGTGCATTGTCCAAAGCAGTCTGTCTGCCAGCAGGGTCATGGCCAAGGGTATATTTGAATGGACTGAGAGAGAAAAAAAAATTCTTGATTTCTTTTCTTCTCCCTTTAATTTTGTTAGAGGAAATCAAGTCTGATACTCCAACCAGCAATTGGCTCACTGCAAAGAGCGGCAGAAAGAAGAGGTGCCCTTACACTAAGCACCAAACGCTGGAATTAGAAAAAGAGTTCTTGTTCAATATGTACCTCACCCGCGAGCGCCGCCTAGAGATCAGTAAGAGCGTTAACCTCACCGACAGGCAGGTCAAGATTTGGTTTCAAAACCGCCGAATGAAACTCAAGAAGATGAGCCGAGAGAATCGAATCCGAGAACTGACCGCCAACCTCACCTTTTCTTAGGTCTGAGGCCCCATGTGAGGCCAGGATCCGAGAGGGGGCACCGTGTTCCAGGCCTGAGTGCTGGAGGACTGGGGAGGCGGAAACAAAACCTTCATGGCTCTTTGTTTTTTTTTTGTTTTGTTTTGTTTTGTTCTGTTCTGTTTTCCTGCTAGAATGTGACTTTGGGGTCATTCTGTTCGTGCTGCAAGTGATCTGTAATCCCTATGAGTATATATATATATATATATTAAAAAACTTAGCACGTGTAATTTATTTTTCCATCGTAATGCAGGGTAACTATTACTGCGCATTTTCATTTGGGTCTTAACTTATTGGAACTGTAGAACATCCATCCGACCATCCACTCATCCACCCATCTATCCAACCAGCAATGTGACTTTTCCACGGTTTTCCTCACATAAAAGTTCTCTGTGTGTGGGTTAGCCCATGAACTCATGTCATTTTGAAAACATCCAGTACTTTTAAAAAAAATTGCATATATATTTCAAACAAATAAGAAAACCCACAAGCTTTGGGGGGGAGGGGGACTTTAAAAAGCACATTACAATGTATCTTTTCACAAATGAACTTAGCAATTGTCCTTGGTGAAATGGAGTGTTGATGACGTATGCCTTGTAGCCTTTTCCTTGTGGTGCATCTGTGGTTTGGTAGAAGTACAACAGCAACCCGCGCTGTGCTCTCTGTGCATGTTCTGACCGCATGTATAATGCAATAAACTCTGGAAATGAGTTTGTTCCCTCTGCTTTCTGAAATGGAAATCCGTGATGGTGGAGACGAACGCCTCTGGGAAGAGTCTCTTCTGACTAAACTGCCCGTTTGGGGCAGTCGGGTAGGGGAGAGAGGGTGGGCAGGAGAAAGGAGATAGGGGAGGAAGCTGGGAAGGACCTAGGGTGCTGGAATATGGCACTGGTGAGAGTGGGTGGTTCAGCCTGGGAGTCTTCATAACTGGGAAGAGTGTCCTCTCCTCTCCCACCCCCTAATCCTGTTACTAGAATTGCATTCTCAAAGGGGTGAGCTTCCCTCTAGCCTGGGTCTGGTAAGTAAGCCTATGCGCTGTGCTGGTTTTTACTTTCAGTTCCCCGTGTGTGTGTGTGTGTGTGTGTGTGTGTGTGTGTGTGTGTGTGTGTGTGTGTGTGTGTTTTCGGCTCTGGTTTTTGGTTATGTTATTTTTAATGCTTTCAGTGAGCTCTTGATGACTTCTGGCTGGGGAATCCACCATCAGGGGCTAGGTTGGAGCTAGTAATTGCCCACCTGGAACCTGCCTGGCCTCCATTACAGGAACAAGCAACAGCTTGGCATGGCACCGGATCCAATTGTGTCCCCAACACCACCACCCACCCTTTTCTCATCCCTCTGCCCATCCCAAGCTCAAGACAACCAGGCCCAGTGAAGCCAAGGTTGGGTGAGTTCTCTCATCTTGCTTTACCTTGGTTCCTTTCTGAAAGGGATTTATGTTCAGCCATTACCTTTCAGTGGCCCACATGAATTTTTTTAAAGGGAAAAATGGAAATACTCTCCCCAGTCAAATCTCTCACTATTATTACAAAATGCTCGCTGCAGCCCCTGTAGCTGAGCAGTCAGGTGACTGAAAGAGAATTCGCAAGTGAACATGACTTCCCAACAAGTCCAATGGTCCTTTTACACACATAGATTGGAAAACTCAAGGCAGCTTCTGTGGAATCCGCACCATTGAGCCCAGACTCATCTAGTCCTGTCAGGGAAAGGGAAGAGGTCCTTGTGGGAAGAGGTGACCGAATTCGTTGCCCCAGGTCCGGCCTGTGGTTTCAACCCATCTTCAAAGACCCATCATAAAACAGGTTTGTTTTCCTTTTTTCTTTCTTTTTTCTTAAACACAGGCCATTTTTTCCCCCTCAAAGAACAATCCATGTAGTCTCTCCGAACTTCGGAGCCCCCATCCAAACAGTCTTTGGGATGCCCAGTGTTTATTATTTTAAACCTTCCCCAGACCCCAAATCCTCCTAAACTCCAAGGCCCTTGAGGGCCTTATTCCCTGGGGCTGGTAGAGAGAGGTGTCTGACTCAATCCTAGCTGGAAAGGACTGGGATAAATTTGTCCTTGATTTACCTTGGATGGGCAAAAGGAGTAATCTTAACCTCTGCGTTTCTCCCAGGGATGCGGGGAGCGCCGTTAGTTTCTGATAGGGGGAACCTGTGCTACAGGAAAAGGGCAGGCCCCCTGAAACAAAATCAGAGGGCCATTCGTAAAGGCGATCAATCAGGCCCTAAGTAGCCATTTACCCCCTTTCTTTCCGGGGCTGGAGGTGGGCTGGGAGCCCTCCAAGGGTGCGCTGGGCAACTTGTAGAGCAAGGAATATACCCTCTCAATCGCCGCCGGCCCGCGGCTTTTGTCTCGGCTCCCAGCCGGGCTTTGTACCATGGATTTGGGAGTGACAATGGGCATTTCTCTCAGATTCAAGGCTGCCCGGCCTTACCTCTGAAGGCAAGGGGGGAAAATTGGGAAGGGAGTGGCTCAAAGACCTGTCCTTTCGCCCGGATTTTGAAGACATCTTCAGAATCCGTTTGCAGGCCTCCCAGTGTGAAAAGCATGCAGCGGCCCTGCCCACGGAGATGCGGTTCCCGCCGGCCTCACTGAGGCAGGGCTCATTTGGCCAGGAAGAGCCGGCCTCTCTGGCGTTCGGGTTTTTCCCTCTGTGGCATGTTTTTCTTCCAGGGCCATTCCAGAAGGCCGGGGGAAAAAAAAGATGAGGCACCGTAGCCCTCACGGTCGGCTCCTTGGGACTCCAGTGCTCACCGCTCATCCGAGGGCAGAGAGAAGCCCCTCGCAGGCCGCCCCTGCAGAGGCCGCACTGTGCTGGACCAGGCCCGGGAGTCCAGTTGCCCCAGCTCACCCCTTGGACCTCGGGCGTGTGCCTAGCCTCACGTCGAGGGTGTATGTGTGGCTGCACAGGGAGTGTGTGAGTGTGGCAGAGGGAGGGGGGCCCTTCGAGCTGCTCCATCCGTCCGTTTTATTAGGGACACATTAATCTATAATCAAATACACCTCATAAAATTTTTATTGAAAGGCATAATATCATTACAGAGGTCTTCCACCTGTTTTAAACAACACGACAAGCTGTGAGAGCGTGTGTGGGTACGTGTGGGGAGGGGTGGGTTTAGGTAAGAAAAGAGGCGAAGGAGAACAACTCCCCCCGGGCGCCAGGGGGCTGCCCTTCAAGGCCTGCCTGCCTGGGGCAGCACCCGGCCGGCCGGGAGCCTCCGGCTGCTCCCTCCGGGCTCTGGGTAACCGCCTAGGTGTGCCGTGGAAGCCCGATCCAGGGCTCAGAGCCGGGGAGTCAGGGAGCCGGGGTGGAGATGGCAGGACCCAGAGCAGCCAGAAGAGACGAACAAATAGTCCCCAGCGCCTCCTGCGGCCGCAGTGAGGCCTGTGGTCGCCGCCGCCGCCGCCACCCGGGGCGGGCTGGGCCGGGCCAGGCCGGGCTGGCGCGTGGACCTGGGCCCGACAGCTCTAATTGCAGGGCTCCTGTTGATGATGATTTTTTTTTTTTTTTTTTTTTAAATCACAGCAGCCCCCAGTTTAGCGGACTGATTTACTCCGGGTATTGGTAAATATGATCACGTGGGCCGCGCGACCAATGGTGGTGGCTGCAGCCTGCGAACTAGTCGGCTGCTCGGGCGCCGGCGAGGAGCGGCTCGGCGGCCGGGCAGTGTAACCTTGGGTGGGAGCGCGCGGCGCCTCAACCATGTCGTCCAGTGGCACCCTCAGCAACTACTACGTGGACTCGCTCATAGGCCACGAGGGCGACGAGGTGTTCGCCGCGCGCTTCGGGCCACCGGGGCCGGGGACCCAGGGCCGGCCCGCAGGTGTGGCCGATGGCCCGCCCGCCGCCGCCGAGTTCGCCTCGTGTAGTTTTGCCCCCAAATCGACCGTGTTCTCCGCCTCGTGGTCCGCGGTGGCCGCCCAGCCCCCGGCGGCGGCGGCGGCGGCGGCGACGATGAGCGGCCTGTACCACCCGTACGTGTCCCCGCCACCCCTGGCCACCGCCGAGCCGGGCCGCTACGTGCGCTCCTGGATGGAGCCTCTGCCCAGCTTCCCCGGCGGCGCGGGTGGCGGCGGTGGCAGTGGTGGCGGCGGTGGCGGAGGCCCCGGTCCCGTTCCCAGCCCCGGCGGCCCAGCGAACGGGCGCCACTACGGGATTAAGCCTGAAACCGGAGCGGCCCCGGCCCCCGCCGCCGCCGCAGCCTCCACCTCCTCCTCCACCTCCTCGTCCTCCTCCTCCAAACGGACTGAGTGCTCCGCGATCCGCGAGTCCCAGGGGAGCGGCGGCCCAGAATTCCCGGGCAACTCGTTCCTGCGGGACAAGGCGGCGGCGGCGGGAGGGAACGGGCCCTCCGGGGTGGGAATCGGGGCCGGGCCTGGGGCGGGAGGCTCGTCCGAGCCCTCAGCTTGCAGCGATCACCCGAGCCCGGGCTGCCCGCTGAAGGAGGAGGAGAAGCAGCCACCGCAGCCGCCGCAGCAGCAACTTGACCCAAGTAAGTGCAAAAGAAATTGCCCCCTGATTTATTGCTGAAACCTGTAAGGCTCGAATGTGCAAAACTGATAGTTTTACTAACCTATAAAAACGTCTAGACGCCTACCCAAGCCTAGGCGAGCAACACGCATCCATAAAAAAGCTTCCCATAACCACCTACCTTGGGCGCGCGGTTTGTACGGTAAACAGAGCGCGGGCATTAAGGCTTTTTATGATAATTCCCCCAAGTTGTGAAAAGCGTCCATCCTTGGTGAAATTAATTTAACGACCTCTCTTCCCCACCCTGTCGCCTCTCCCTGCCTCCCCTCCGCCCCTCGCTCCCTGTCTGCAAACCCCCCTCTTCCTAGACAACCCCGCAGCGAACTGGATCCACGCTCGCTCCACCCGGAAAAAGCGCTGTCCCTACACCAAATACCAGACGCTAGAGCTGGAGAAGGAATTTCTCTTCAACATGTACCTCACCCGGGACCGGCGCTACGAGGTGGCCAGGATTCTGAACCTTACAGAGAGACAAGTCAAAATCTGGTTCCAGAACCGAAGGATGAAAATGAAAAAGATGAGCAAGGAGAAATGCCCTAAAGGAGACTGACCCAGTGCGGTCCTGGCCCGCAGCGCTCAAAGGCAGCCGGGTTTTGTTTTTTGTTTTTTTTTTTCCTTTGTGGGTGCTTGATTCAGAAACTCTCCAGCAACTCGGACTTTTTTCTTCTTTTTTAGGTAGAAGTGACTGTGTGGTTGGTCTCTGTGAGTTATTTGGGGGACACTGTATTTGCTCGCATATGTATTGGAGAAACCAAGTGGCTTTGGAGTTTTGTCCTATCCCGCCCCCTCCTTTCCTACTCGGTTGATTCCTTAGGAAATGCTATATTTTGTGAGTGCACGCAGGCTTGATGAAGCCCTCTCCCGTGTAAATGTCCCTCATGTTTCTGAAAAGTCCTGTAGTTTAGTCTCACCCCGTCCAGCCTCCCCAACAGGGCCAACTATCCAATTCCGAGAATCTGAAGGCAGAGGGAGATTATGGACACCCCCACTGCTCTCCCAGCCCAAACCCAAGCGCAGGAAAGCCCCTTCCCTCAGGGAGCCAATGGGCTGACTTCCAGTGAGGCCTACCGAGAAGTCCTGGGCCCTGGGGCGCCGCGGGGTGCGGGGAAGGTTTAGTCCTCCAAGCCCAGGAGGAGCAGCTCTCTCCCCGGGAGGGCTGGGTTCCCTTGAGCGGCCTCGGGTGGTGGCCCTCCATGTTCCCGCCTCAGGACCAGTTGTAAATGTTACCGCTTCCAACAAATAAATGTTGATCTGAGCAAATGGAGCCCAGCCGCTGGCCCTGAACGTTGTGTGACTGCTCTCTGTGTCTTGGCAAAATAACATGGACCATCAGACTGCACAACCCCGGGAAGGGACACCTTGCTAAAAGCTGTAGGCCCTGGCACCTGGAGGCTCTCTAAGGTGCCTCAGAGCTTCCTTTTATGTACGCACACCTAGCCGAAGAGAGCCATTTTGGAAGGTGTCTCATCTCGGCGCTCCCCCATCATGCTGCCAGGGCCACAGTGAACCTTCTAAAGGCCCTGGGTGAACCTCTCTGCAGAGATACTGGCGCCAGGAACCAGGCACCCTTTTGCTAAGGCTTTGACACACCGCACCGCGGGCCTACTTCTGTCCTGGAGACCCAGAAGCCAATCCCCATCTCTAAACAAGAGAAAGGGCATCTTTGCACTGTGGAGTAACTCCCCCAGGCCCAAAAGGCTGGCTGGATCCGGGAGGTCGCAGCCAGTTAGGCCGCGAGCATCTGCCCCTCCCCACCACAGCCCCAAAGTGACCTTAGCAGATCCAAATGGTCAAGACACTCCCCCCCCCCATACCCTCATCCTGCCGCCCCCTTCCCTCCACCCAGCTTCTGTGTGTGTTTAGCCCCCAGCTTGGCCCTCTGAGGCTGCATTGAGAGGCTAAAATGAAGGTCATTGTGAGGGTTCGGGCGGATCACTGCCGTTGCAGGCCCTAGAAGAGGCCACGGCGCCGGACAGCCTGGGTTGGGCGGAAGGCGGGGGCGATGGCAGAGATCTTGGGGATCCTGATGAAAGAGGGGGACTCCAAGGAAAAGCAGATGGGGCTGAGAGGGAAAGCCAAGGCCCAGATCCGGCTGAAGGTGCTGCCTTCCCCCGCCCCCTAGGCCAGGCGGATACCTACAGCTCTTTGAAAACAGGAAGAGCCAAGGTGTCATAAAGCCATCGAGCCGGCCAGACGTCTGGAGGTAATGAGTTTACGACGGGCCAGGCGCTTCGCTTTGAAACCATCTCATTTTGATGTTTGTGGGAGGAAAGGAAAAATGCAGACAAAACTGGGTCCTAAAATCTGGACAATAAAATATAAACAAGACTTGGACCAAGAAGGCAGGGGCTAGGAAGCCCCCCAGTGAGGTGCGAGCATCCAGAAGAGAAAAATGAGAGGTGATATATTTCTGATTTTTTTAAAATGGGGCGAACGTTAGAGGTAGCCTATGGCTGGTGGCTCTTCAATATTTTGACTGTGGCCATGATCTATCTGGTTCTTTTAAAAAGAAAAATAAGACCATAATGAGCACTCTATTACTTGAGATGGGGAGGCTAGTGATCTTGGGCCATGTATTCAAGCAAGCACTTCCTAGGATTACGTCTTGTGGGGCATTACACGCCTCTTCACTGGCCCTTCACTCCAAATTCCCCGCAAAAATATGGAAATTTGTTCACTTATTACAGATACAGTCAATACAGCTAAATTGACGGAAAACATTTCTGAAAATGAGAGACAGAGAGATTAATTTAGCAAGAAACACACCGATTTGGTAACATTTGCTTTTTAAAACGACACGTAGACCGCTTATCCAATTCAGTTCAGTCTGTCACTTATGCAATTTAAAAATTCTCATTTATTGTCTGGAAAATTTGAATAAACATAAGCCCAATAGGGACTTTCCAGACAGGCACACAAAATGCAGCAAAAAGCTTTTAATTTGACTTTAATCCACCCCAAATTATCCAGTTTAATGGGCCCAAAACATTAAGGTTAGAAAGTTGAATTAGCAAATATACATCATTTAATGTTGAGAGTAACAGTTTTTTAAGAAAAACAACAACAACAACATTTGACTTCTAGGAAATTTTTAGCTGTCGAAGTGCTTGGTTTCTTTGAAAAAAAGTCTCACAATTAATTTTTTAAAGTTTTGATTTGTGTTAAGCCTAGCCTGTCCTACAATTATGTCTAAAAAGCACAGCTAGGAGATTACAGAATTGGGGGACTTGTGGTGTCTGGCAAACGACCGGCTGGAAGCTTCTGGCAAACACACTACTTGCAAGCTCTTGTGAGCCAAGATGAGAATTTCCTCTGCATCCAGGGGGCCCCGTTTGCTGCAATTGACTTGTTGACAGTCAAGGAGATGAAGCATTATTAGTGTCAGTGGTCCAAGCCCAAGTCAAACTGAAGAATTAAGATTAGAATTGGTTTGAGGCGAATGAAAGGAAAAATCAAACTCGGTTAGCTCGCGACAGCATGTGGCCACTAGAGGGCGCTGTTGCTCCACTTTCTGATCTCGTAAAGCTAGCATTTCGGTGGAGGAAGGTTTTGATTAAAAATATTTACAATCTTACTTTTAATCTTAAATTAGGATAAATTTAACAAAAATAAACAACGTGAGCTATTAAATTCTCAAGCCGTGCTCGTCAGACATAAAAATTTTGTCTCACTCAGCGTTTCAGAAAATCTGGACTGTTGTGCAGAAAACTATACAACGTTAAGTTAATGCATTCCATCAAAACAGAAGTAAAAAGCACAGATATTTACGAAGTTAACTGCGCTCTTCTTCTTTTCGGATAACAAACGGAATGCTTAAATAAAACCGGAAAACCCCACATTATTTTGTCATCGGGGAAATGTGCTGTTGTGTTGGTTTGTTTTTTAAATTAGGCCTGAATATGTAGAAATGAGTACTGTGTTCATGGACGACCTCCCAAATTTATGGAGTTTTTAAAAGTGCCGTGTGTTACTGAGATGTGGGTTCTTGATTTTGGCTTTTTGCCCCATTCCATTCCCAAATCCATCATTTATTCGGTGTCCAAGTATACCCACATTCCCATAAACACCCATGCCAAACAGTGGAATAAAAGGCCACAATTATCAAGTTTAGTTCCAAGGCTTTATTGGAAAAAAAATCTTTTAATTGGGCATTTGCAGGACTGAAGTTTAAATCCTTAATAGTCAGATTCAGTTGTTACACTTCAAATTTGAAAGATACTTGGAAGAAAAACAAAAACAAAATAAAACTGCCTTGCCCTTAACCACCCCAATAACAAGTTTCCCATACTCTCTGAAATAAATTTTAATAACACGTGTCTTCAGCATCTCCAGATTCATCAATAATGTGTTTACCTTCACCACTTTCAACCATTCCTTGTAGAAATAATTGAGTCGAACATAACTAGCGAATATGCCTTTCTATGTCGACCTTATTTATAAAAACGAGATTCAATCCACTCGGACTGACCTCGGGATCCAGTCCACATGGGCTGAACAAACCCACGAGGAATGGAAGGTAGCTGAAATCTCTGGCCTGCTTGCATCAGAAGTCCATCTGGGGTTTGGGGCATTTGGATTTGGCCGAGGCAAGTCAGCGCAGTGTGATTTAGTGTAAGCCAGTCTTTGGCGAGCTGGGGTGTCTCTCCAAGCTCTGTTCTCAAGACCAAAGGACCTGGTGCCCTCCAGACACGGATTATCCCAAAGGATAAAGGGTTCAGCACCTAAAGTGGGAGGAAGGATGGGAGAAAGGGAGGGAGGGATGGAAAGAGGGGAGGAGGAGAGAGAGCGAGGGAGGAAAGGAGTGAGGGAGGGGAGAGAGAGAACATATTTATTGGACATTCAAACTCGAGAAAAGGAAAAGATGAAAGCGTGTGGGGAAGCGGTTGGTGGTGTAAAGCCACGCAGCTCTCTCTGCACAGCTGCCCAAATCCGGACATTGGCCCATTCCCGACAACGCGAACCCTGGACTTCCGCAGGGGACTCTGCTTCCCTTCCTTACCGCTCACAAACGAGCCCCTCGTGAGCCTTCTCTTTATTTCCCCTCGGGGGCAATCAAGTTTAAGCTAAGGCCTGCACCCAGTCTCGGTAGTTGTTTTACAGATTCGGTGTATGAGCTAAAGTCGTTAGCAGAGGACAGGGCCTGCCCGCAGCTGCCTGGAACCGGCCCGATCCGAATCTCGGCTGGGGGACTCGAGTGCCTGCCCCCCGCGCTCCACCCGGGGCCACAGCCCGCCCAAGTCCGCTGGGCGCCCGGGTTGGGACCCCAGAGCCTTGCGCCCTGCCCTAGGAAAGGCCACCCACCCCGGCGTGAGTCCTTCGTCCCACTGGGAACGTTCCCGCAGCTCTTCTGCGCACTCCCTCGGCGACGCTTAATGCACCCTTCCCGCATTCTCCAGCCTCCCCCCCTGCGCCCAACACTGACGTCTATCAAGGGTGAAATGATGGAAACTATATTCATGGGCATGATTTCCATTAAATATCAATTAACCTGGGAGCCTCAGCCAGGCATGCAGTGCGTCAAGGGTAAATGTACATCTCATTTCCACAAGGCCTGCTCGGCTGGAAAAAGCAGGACTTTTGATTCGCTTTGATAAGGCCAGGATTTGGGAGGGCGGATTGTGGCTTTTCATCAAAAGCAAAAAAACACGTAGATAGGCCCGAACAAACAAATGCAAGGACCGATCCGTCCACCTCGTTCAGCTCGTCCACGTTCAGAAATGCAAAAAAAAATAAAGGCCATGGCCAGTCTCTACTGGGCAGCCCCGGGAGCTGTGGGGAGAGGTCGTTTGCTCGGCAGCCTCCTGGGAGGGACCTCCCTGGCTGCCCCAAGGCTAAGGTTCGGCCGCGCCCCCTCCCCGCGGGCCCGGGGGCGGGGGGTGGCCCCCGGAGCCCTTGGCAGTGCGGCTTTATGGGCCCCCTTTAAGGCTGGCGGAGGCATCCCGGGGCCGGCGTGAGGCGTCCCCGTCCGGCGCAGGGAGGGGGGGGGTGCCGCTTCGCCACCGCCCGGATCCCTCCGCGCGGTTATCTCGCCCCCCATCTCGCTCCCTCTCCGCGCAGTGGCGGG